ACACAGACTGCAGCCATTACTTGTCAGTTAGTGCTGCCCTGTGGGGGGAAAAGCCTTTTTAATGTACTTGTAGCAGTTTTAGTTTTATGAAGTACTTGAACTTTAAAGTTAGACTTCTAAAATTATCTAGGATGTATATTGGAGAGTATTAAAAATGATAATTAAATGGGAGAAAAACCCCCACCTCTGTTCATGCAAGCCTTCATTGCTGTAAGGAAAAACACTTGCTGAAGCATCGTATTTAATGTGCATTAGAAAACATGATAAAAGTAAGCTGGTAATGTTTCATCCTCTCCACAAAACTGTTCATGCAATATCACATTTACTTGGCTCTGACAGCCTGTGTTCACTCTGTTGGTCTGAAATTCGAACCATGTTTTGGTGGCATTTATGTTCCGTCCCTCTGCGGAACGAGTGTAAAATGAAGAAATGAGTTGTTTGGGGTTTTTTTGCAGGAAAGTGTTTGCGTGCCTCAGCCCGGTTCCAAAGTGGGAGAGAGAACAAACTGTTAGAGTTATAAGAACAAAGCATAGAGAGTGATTAGGAATTGGCCCCTGAAATACATTCTTTAGATTATAGAGGGAAGAAGTCCCAACAGTTGCACGCACCAAGATGCTGGGCAGAGGGATACCCCGCTCACCCAGGCTTGCAAGATGGCAAGTGACTGGGCTTCAGACACCAGAGGAGAGGGGAGGGAAGGCTGGCAGACTGCTCAGTGGTCATCATTGCACGTGGCTGTCCTCTGCCAATGTAAGATCTTTTGCAAATGTTTATATTTTTGCTGGTCCAGTTGGGTTTTGGTCATGTGCGGCTGAGTTCATGTCCCCTTGCTCCAAGGCAGAAGCAGCAGTTGGTGGCTATGTGCCTTCACACCAGCTTTCACATCACACCTTCCTTTTGTGTTGGTGGCAGCCACTGGGGAGCAGGGCAGCTCTACCGGTTGCTGTCAGTATTTTGTGGCCTTCCCTGAACCTGCCCCATCTGCTCTGGTAGTTACAGGGACCACTTGGGAAACAACCAGGCATGTATAAAAAGTTGACAAGAGCTGGAGGCTGTGCTTGTGGTCCCAGGAGGAGGCAGGACTCAGTAAGGTCAGTCCCATGTTTATGAACCCCAAGGGAACCATGTCTTCTGCATCAGCAGAGGATTAAGCCATGTGTTTAAGACCAAGCAAGGAAACCTTCCTCTCTGCTGCCTCCTGGAAAGCTGTCCCAGGGAAGAAGTCCTGGTGATGGCTGTAAGTGCAGTGCTGAGGACTGGCAAGTAAGAATCAAGTGTGTATTTTTATTTTTTTCCTCTTTCATAACTGTTTGTGTTAATCTTTGCAGTCTGATTTCATCCATCTTTAATAGACTAGACTTGAGTTTTTTTAATATATTGCTTCCACTATATTTTGGCAAGAAACACGAGCTATGGGCTGTCCCCTCCAGCGTGGTCTCCTTTGGACTGTGGGTGCGTTTGGCACATTCATCTGCCAGCAGAGATGGAGGAGTGAACCACTGTGGCCCCGGCAAAATTGCAGCCTGGTTCTCTGAAATCAGACTGACATTCCCAGAGTCATCTCCCTCCAATCAGTTGACTTCAATTTTTGCTGCCCACAAAGATACTACTAGTATTTTTATTGCTGCAAGTGGCGCTTTCAGCCTCCAGAAAATGTTTTCTATCCTTTTGGAGAGCTCATAAAGGAATTGAACCTTGAGAAAACACTTGGTGGCATTTTCTAAGCTTGCTCCAGGCAATGTGGCAGTACTGTAAATGACACTTGTCACACGTGTCCTTCAGGGTAGCAAATGCCCTCCTGAACTGCCAGCATTTCAGTTGCCTAAAGGTAACTCTACTCAGTAGAGGCTACATGCAAAGCTCTAGTCTGTCCAGTTCACACTTGGGCTAAGTATAAGTCATCTTCATTAGTCTGTAGGAGCTTTCCATACATCTACTGATATTATTTGTTACCCTTAATTCCAGCACTTGAGACCAGTTCCTGCCTGGTTCAGTGTCCTGTTATCTGTACGGTATGTTCAAATTCCCCAAATAGCAACTATCTGCTGTCTGAAGATCAAGTGACTTTTCTAAGACTTTCATCCCACAAATGGATTTCCTGTGTTTTATTTCTCTGTGTTAAGGCTGAGATTTTATTTTCTTTTTTTTTCTTTTCCTTTTTTATATCCTCCACTGCTGCAGACTGTTCAGTCAGCAGTGACAATGCTGCTCGTGCTGGATTTGACGGGATGCACTATCCCACTCGCTGTGTGCTCATTGCCAAGCTATGTTTTCGATGCACAACAGGCATCCAGAAGTTTGCTCTTAATTTTAGGCCAAAACCATCCTGACAAAAAAAAAAAAAATAAAAAAAATGCCCTGAAAGGCTTCAATTCATGGTGGACTCCCCACTCTGATAATTGCCCGGAGGACCTGACCCCCCAGTTTGAGGACTGGGTCTGGATCAGCAGCCTTTGGTAGGGGCTGGTATTAAAATATAATTTTTTATTTACTGTTGCCTTGAAGCTGCCTGCATTTGTTTACCACTGTGAGCTGACCTTTGGGGAGACATTTCTCGATTAATTGGGTATCGAATCACTTCAGACAATTGACAGGCGTGTGTGTATTGGAGTTTTTCCTCTTGTTAGATATTTTTCCTCTCATTTCTTCTTTCACTGTTATGTGGCAAATGATGCATTTATTCTTTGTATTAGTTCATTGTTTTTCACTTTAGTAGTTACCCATTGATTTCATACTTGACTGTTGTCTCTTGGCCTGAACCTTTCTTTTGCCAATCCATTCAAATCATGAGTCTCTTGTTCTTAAATATGTGCTTATATGCTATGGGTAAAGTAGAAGCCAGCTATTTTAGTTCTTGTAATATTTGGCCTTCAATAATCATTCTCTCAGTAATTCTTTAAATTTACTTTCCACAGACTCTTTTAAAAAGCAGCTCTACCTTTAATTATTATCTCGAGACACTGATTCCATGTAGGTCTCGAATCCTCACTCATGTTTATCCCCCAGATAATTTTGCAGGTTTACTGGTGCTTTAGGTTCCCAAGATGACAGACAACAGGCAGTGAGTGCATTGGCACACTTCTGTCTGCGTTCACTTTGGGTCTCTGTACATACGTACCCTGGAGACCTGCCCCTGGCTGTGTTCAGCTGTTAGCAGGAGGAAGAAGATGCTCCTGGTTTTTATTTGTTTGTCCTCTAGTTATTTATTAGTAAATACTCTGGAATGTTTCCATAGCAAACTGGTGTAGAAAATGTTTTTTTTTCTTTTTTCCCTGTGGAAAACATAGAAATGTGTTTTAGGTAAGTGATGTTTTTCTTTTTATACAGAGGGCAAAATTCACTTATGTGGCATGTAGGTGAGAGGCTCTGAAGTAAAACATGGCTAGTTAGTGGACTGGTACTGGGAAGTATCGCTTTTGTCTGGGGAGGGGTGGTAGCCTGAACTTTTTAATAGCCTTGGACTGGGACTGAGGGTCCCAGGATCCGTCACTGCTTTGCCCCTGACCAGTGGATGCTCTCAGAGGTATTGCAGCGGGAAACAGTCTGAGGTTTAGTGATGGAAAGTTCAGTTCTGTAGCAGATTTTCTTATTTGCTCATTCTCCTGGGCTGAAAAATATAATGAACTGAATAGCGTGCCTGCTTCCCACATGTGGTGCTGAAGTTCAGGTAACCTTGTGCCATGAGCACGTCACGGGTGATAGGTAAGGGACAATCTGCTAACTCAGCCTGAGTCTAAGCCTGGACTTTCTGGAGCAGGAGAATTTGATTCCAGCCCTTGCTGCGCCGTGAAGTCCCAGCCCTGCGGTACAGCCTGGCCCCAGCCGTGGAGCCTTGGGTTGCTGTGGATTTGTTACAGTCCTTTTTGCTCTGGCTAAGCTGTCTATAGTGTGCCTAGGAAAGGAAATGAGTTAATTAAAAAAACAATCTTGCTGGAAGATTGCTATATAAATATATTCCAGAGATAAGTGAAATAAAACATTAGTGGAAGATAAAGGGAAGGGGAGGGGAAAGATGGAAACAAGCAGACATAAGTAGTGAGACTGGATTTTTTCCATGGTAAGTGCTTGTATTGATGGTAGAAGTCCTTTTGTCACCAGTAACTTCTTTGGTGAGCAGCCCTTAGTGGGAAAATCAGAATAACTCCAAGAAGTTCTTAGACTGCTGTCTGGCACCGTGCACAGAAATAAGTCAGTTCTGGGCATCTTGGAGAGGCACGGGTGTGATGAGGAGCTGTGGTGCTCAGCAGCAAGATGGAGAGGACAGATTAGTGCAGGGATGCTGCCAGGCAGAAATCCAGCTGCCCTGCTGCAGAGGGTAATGAGGGGTGGATGCTGCTCTTGTAGTCGTTAGCAATGCAGCTACTGTCTTTGTTCCTAATGCTTTGCACCACGCTTTTTACTAGGCTAGGTCATAAGCAGAGTATTTTCAGTGTTTCCTGGTTGTGATTTTAATTGCTGCTTTGTGCTTCCCATAAAATGTTCTGTGTAACTGATCACGGGAGAGCCTTTTCTCTGCGATATTGTACCTAATGTGCTGGAAGAGTTCGCGGACGGGGGCAGACAATGGTCTGTCTATTCTTGTTCATCCTGTCCAAAAATCACCAATGCCAGATGATCCAGCTGGAGGAAATAAAAATGTCTGTATAGCAACTAATGGTGAGATTTTATGCCTGGGGAAGCAAATCAAAGAGAGAGAAACTTCCTGGTTATTTTCCCATTAAGTTAAAGCTCCTGTAAAATCAAAGTGCCTGGAATGCACAGAGGGGTGACAAGTCTTTGGATGGCAAAAGGTGGCTCGGCTCACAGATGCTGCGGAGAGGAGCTTTCTTGAAAGAACAGGTGAAGTGACTCCTGATTTGGGTCTGGTTTGTTTTAGCCCTTGAGTTCTTGGAATAAATTGATAATTTTAATTTTTTTCTTCTGTTTGAAAGCATGTGCAAGGCTGGAACATCCTCCCTGTGTCAGAATGTGTTGCTAATGTAACTTTTCCTTTATTTCAGAAACAGCGCACAGTTTATAGGCTGACGCTGGTGAAAGCTTGGAATGTGGATGAACTGAAAGCCTATGCTGACCTCATATCCCTTGGTAAACCAGACTTCATTGAGGTCAAGGTGAGCTGCACACACCTATTTTATTTCTTTCCATCAGTATTTTACTTTTTAATTCCCCATTTCCCACGCCCCCCAGTCTGAAACTTATGCAAGTAAAAGCAATTCTTCCAAAGATTTCAGTCATGCATAAGGAACTTACCTCTTGCTTTTAAAGTGAGACAGCCAGGTTTCTGATATTTTATGTGTGCATTTGGAGTAGTCTTAGTGTTATGCAAGACAAGCTTTGTACCAGCTGGCATCAATTTCTGCTCAACAGAATCATAACCCTGTGGTCTATTTTGTATTTTTCATGAAAGCAGAGACTGATAAATAGATGTTCCTTCTTTTATGTTAACCAACATTTTAAACAAAATATTCTGAGACAAGCTGGTCATTCGTGGTATTATTCTTCCTATCCTGGCCTAAAATTCTGCCTGGGGAAAGGGTAATCATGTCTGGCTTACTAATGTGGTGTTTGTCAGGCTGTGCAAAACAGGGAAATATTACCCTCTGGGACTGGAAGAGCTACTAACAGTAGCATGTGAAATACAGCAGGGCAGGAGATGCTTTATCTTGGGATTAATCAGTTTAGTATATAGAGAATGTAAAAAAGACATATTGAAGGTATTCTGTAAAGAACCATTATCAGCATTTTCATCCAGCAGCTCCTCTGCAGACCAGCACGTTTACTTCAGGGCTGTGTTTTTGCAGCTCTATTACTTCTGGACTTTCTCTTTTCTTTCTCTCTTTCCTTTTCTGAACCTTTACTTACTGCTGCTTTGAAGAAAAAAACCTGAAGTTTGCTTCAGTTTATGAAACAAAACCCCAAGATTTTGATATGATCAGTCCTGAGGTCTCTTTCTCTCTGAATGTGCTGCTGAAGTTGATAGCTTAATACAAAATAAGATTTTGAGTGTGGTTTTGGGGGGAAAAGCCTCAGTTTTACAATGCGTATCAGACTGCTTTATATTCCTCAGGTAAAACCTAGAAGGAGGAGTGCTCCTATGGGGCCCTTCCCACCTTGCATCTCCTGACGCTCTTACTGCAGCCTGGTTGTACAAGATCCTTCCAGCATGTGAGGAGCTCGGAGATGAGTGTGCATGCCAGCATGGAGTGTGAGGCTGTCAGCGTACATGCTACCTGGACTGCTCTGGGTGTAGTGACTTTAATTAGTAAAATAAATCAGGTGTAAGTTAATCCACGTTCTGAGCGCACGTTCCTCTGAGTTGTCTCCAGGGTGAACATCTGTCTCCTCTAAGGCAGAGGGCTGCTGTTCACTTTGCCTGGGGAAGGATTCAGCCTCATAGTCATGGTTTCCCAGCAGCTTGGAGCTCAGTTCTCCCAGCAGCTCTTCCCTGGCAAAATGATGCCTTGGACTGCCAGGGAAATAGGTGAGAAAGAGGTGGTTATAGATGTATTCCTGGAACTCTTCCAGCTGGGACAGGCTACTGCCCACACTGCTTCAACTGAAAATGTCATCTTTGCACTCCAAGAGCTTCAAAGTGCTTGTTAGATCTCAACCAGCGAGAGCTTTTCTCTGAGGAAAGGATATATATTGAACACTTCGCCCTGTTTTGCAAAAGTATCAGCTGAGGTAGACAGGGGCTGTGTGACTTTCCCAAAAAAACCCATGCTGCATGGTAGTGTAGCTGGGGGTTCAGCCTTACTCCTGTACCTGCCAACACCAGCTGCTAAGGGAGTTCAAAGTGGTTGTGGGACACAGAAGGCAGAGGAGGGGATGCAGAGGGAAAGCACGCGCTCTCTGGCCACATGCTGTTGGGTGGGTTTGGGACTTTTCATGGACTGATAAAAGTGTGATTTTGGGAATTGTTTTTATTTTTTAGAGTGTATGCTGTTTAATGTTACTTAAACTTGGAAGCAGGATGCCTTCCTCAATGTCATGTTTTCAGAAACATGATCTATTTCTAAATTTCCAGCAGGTAAATGAATATCTGCAGGTGTTGTCGCTCAGGCAGGGGGGTGATCCTGCCAGAGCATGGTGTCTTCAAGCTAAGGGACAGAACATCTTGTGCCTCAGTTTCTTCCTCTGAATGATTTAATGTTGTGCCTATACTGTGGCCCCAAAAGCAGTCTGTAGTTGGCATGTGGAAAGTCTCTTTTTCTTTCCAATCCCAAGAGCGGTACTCAGGGACACAGGGAAACTCAGGTTTAAGCCTTTTCAAAGGATGCAGCATCTTTCCACCTTGTCTCCGCTAGTTGCTGTACTTAGGCTGGGAGTGGTGGGGAAAGTCTTCCCTTCCCTGGTTACAGCTCTCATTAAAAACGCAGTGCAGCGTTTCACAACTTCATCACAATCTGTATACTCAAAGTCCAAAAACCATCGTCTACAGTTTGCTCTTTGTTTCCAGTCTAGTGGAGGGAGGATGATTTTCCAAAGCTCTCAAAACCATACAGCAAGTCTGACAGCAGCTAAGCCCCACAAGACAGAAGTGAGCAGCTGAGTACAAGAAAATGCACTAATTCCTTTTCAGCTTCAGCAGCAGCAAATGAATTGTCAGGGCGCTGCTCCACCTCGTTCACCAGCAGGCTCTGAAATAGTCTCTGGTTTTTTTCCATTTAATTGAGCTTTTATAGAGCTATGCTGTCCCATTATCTTAATTTTGAAGACAGGAAGGCAGGGCTCATATACTTGGAAGTATGAAGCATGCCATTGTGAGCAGCATTGCTGGAGCACCCGTTCATAGCGGGAGCTGAACTGGTCTTATCGCTGTCTGAAACAAATGGTGCAACTCTGTGCTGGCACAGTATTTGGGGTCTAAATGGTATTTCCATCCTTCTAAAAAGTCACAACATTTTGTGATGACTTCCCTGGAGCAGGGGATTGGCTTGACACTAGTTGGTGTTTAAATAGACCCAAAGTTGGACGAAAAGTCTTGCTCGCAGATTTATTTATTTATTTATTTATTTTAATATGAGATGTTTTTATATGAGAGCAGTGTTTTAACAAAGTTGCCTTTCTTCCTTGCCTCTTTGGAGCAAGTGTAATGTTCCAAAATGTGTGCACTTGATGCTCTGCAGAGGGGAAGTAGCTCACACTAAATACAGTATTAGCCCAGTCAGTGGCCTTATTTATTTCACATAGTTTCATCTGCCAGTTCCCGCTCAACAGCAGCGTTTCTAAAGTGTGGAAGACTTGGCTCGGTTGGGAGGCGCAACGGCTTTCTTGTCTTGCTGCACTATCTGTGACTTTGAAATGTGAGGGGATTACACGGTTTCTCACCTCAAGCGTGGAACCAGTTTTTCCCTTTTCTTGGCCAGGAGGAGCAAGGGACGTGTTCTGGACTGGCTGATAAATGACGAGTTGTGTTGCTGCGGGGTAGTGAGAGAGTCCAGCCCAGTACCAGTAGAAGAGGCTGACAGAGGGGATGTCGTCCTAAGGATGGCTTCCTTGCTTGGCTGTCCTTTGAAGTGTCGACTGATTGCTGGTGGGGTGTTGTGCCCCCCCTGCGCTGCTGGTGACATTGGTGTTGCTGCTGTGCCTGCACTCAGACCCTTACCCTGAGGTCTGACCTAACTAAATTAGTAGGTTATCCTCCTTTGCATTCAGCTGTGTCTGCAGACGGCTTGTTTTCATCTGATCATCTTTAATCCAGGCTTGCAAAGCTCTTTTCCAATGCCCTACCCATGAGATCAGCCTTCTCTTATGGCAGGATCACTGGTGGAGGTGGCTGCTGCAGTGGTTTCAGAGGCATCTGAGCTGTGCTGTTGAGCAAACCGGGGTCGAGAGTGCTTCAAGGTGCTTCGTTGCTTCTGCCTCTGCACCTGCAGGGTGAGGCAAAGAGCTGGTCCATGCAGTATTTGACTGCTCTGGAATAAAAGGTACACAGATCTTCTCAGCAAAGGAGAACAGCCAAAGAAGGGCTGCATCATTCCCCCCCAAAGCCTGGGGGTTTGCGATTGTGCAGGCAAGGCGTACGTGAGCAGAGTGATCACATAGGTATAACCCCACAGCATTCAAAGTGATGATTGATTCAACAGTAAATAAAGTCAGGAGTTAAATTCTGACGCAGAGGAGGACAGGTAGGGTCGAGCTGTGTTCAACTCCATCACTCATGATTGCTGTCGGTATTCCCTCTCATGTGCTCTATGTATTAAGCTCCACTTGGACCAAAACCTCCTGCTGGTGTGTAACTGGCCTTTAGTCCAGCCCCAGTAGTTGTGGTGTTCACACAGCATTTGTGACCTGGAAATTGTCCCCAAAAGACTTTATATTTTTGATTAAAAGTAATTTCTTGTGTTCCTTGGAGAAGGAAGCATATTGAAGAATCTGTTCGGCATGTGGCTTAGCTTTTTTTTTTTTCCCAACACCCCAGCATGATAGCTTAAAAAGGCAAAGACCAGGTCCTGCTCAAAGCAAATAAACAAAAAAATATTACAAGAGACTGCAAAGTATCTGCCAGAAAATGAGGCTCATCTCAGCAGGATTTCCTGGTTAAATACTTCAGATAAATGACGTTCATTTAAAATGAATGTAGCTAATCCACTGTTGCTCCGGAGGGGCTCATGGGGTGGAGTGGATAGAGATTTAGATTCTTGCAGGGCTTAATACTTGTTCTCATTTACATGAGTATTCTACAGCAGTGTAACTCTGTGGGACCCTATTCTCTTATTTAAGCCAATAGAAATTAGCCTTGACTACCCTTGTGTAAAACCCAAGAAAAGGAAGAATCAGTAATGTGGTTATTAAATACACATCACTTTTATTGTTGTAGTCTGCTTTAATGCCGTAATGTCACTGTCATAGTTGTACCAATTTGATTGTTATATTTAAGATCTAGAATGTACAACGCATCTTTTTGCAATGTTACCCTCTTTTTGTTTTAAAAGCCGGAGGCTTGTGTTGATGTGCAGTATTTTGCCATTTATATTCCTTCTTAAACCAAAGGGGCAAAAGGGTTTTCATATGAAGCGTAAGTGGGTCCTAAGGAACTCATTCAGCTAAGTGGAGCACGCTGCAGGGTCATGTTAGTGCAAAGCCAGAGAAGTGCACAGAAACCCAG